AGTTAATCGCACTTGTACAGCACAGGAGGTGGACCGATGCAACCTACTATTTTTTCTCATTTAATTAAAACCCTAATTAGGGAGTTAATCGCACTTGTACAGCACAGAAGGAGGTGGACCGATGCGCCTTGCTGCCCCCATCGTACGAGGCGTGTGCAGACTTTATCGCGTTGGGCTACAGCGGGAGTGAGGAGCAGGATGTGCGATACTACTACGACGTTGCGTCAGGGCGATGCGAGCCGTACTCTGCGACGCGCTGCCCCGACCGCGCGGACGCATACCTTAGCGACAGCGACTGCTACAGGGACTGCAGGGGTATGAGCGCGCGCGCGCGGCTACACACATGTGCACAGGCNTGCAGATTTTTGTCTGTTCAAAAGAAGTAAACTCTAGTTCCATTCGTAAGATTAAAAACGAGGTCATAGAATTCAAATGTAACAACCAAACTGCCTCTTCAATTCTTAGGAAGCACATCACGCATGAACTCGTTAAAATCTCGGTTACCTGATTATAAACATTCAACAGAGTGAGGTGATCACCGCCCGGCATAAAGAAGTTCTGCCTCGCCGTATCAGCGTGAACGATCTTGTCTTTCGGTCGATAGAATATCGAGTTGTTTACGGAGAGCATGGCTGTAATGCTGAGATCTCTTCCGAACACTTGTACCTGTGCAAAACATCGGGCGTGACACAACTCTGTAAGACTTACAATACATCTATATCTATATGTTTGTACATATAAAAATATATACATACACGCACGCATGCACACATATTCGGACTAGTTCTCAATTTGGTTTGAATCAACGAACTAACGCTAAAATTAATTAAATTAACATTACTAATTCATTCATTTCATTCCTAACCAATAAATCATAACGCACACCGAAGCACCGCCGCGCAACGAACACTAACTTAGTCTCGCCTAGAGGTGTAACATACACATGCGCCACCGATTCGATTCGATTCACGATTCATGCATCACGATTCGATTCACGATTCGATTGTTTTCCATAAAGACAAAACCATTTTTTTGTCAGACAAAAACCCCCTAATTATTTCTACAATGTGTGTGATATAATAAACGTCCAAAATCAACACTATATGTTTTTGTATGTTAATTTATATAATGAACGTTGAACATTCTTTATTGAGCAAGTCAAGTTAACACCAACTAACAATGTCAACTCACTAGTCACTACGGACTGTGTGAGTGAGTGTGATAGACATAAACATTAACCAATGAACAAAGTAAACAAAGTAATACTGTTCTAAAAATAAAGACTAGAATGTAGTACCATGACTCCATGAGTAATTTAGTACATAGTACAACATCATACAACCCAAACTAATATCCAATGCCACTTTAAACAATGAACAATCAGCAATGAGCATTGGAGCAAGTTGTCCAAAAAGGCAAAACATATAAATTATAAAAGACTGACTAGTCATAAAGCATGAATAACAATAATAACAGTCCTTGTTTCAACTTTCAAGATATGCCAAACTTACATGTAAATAAAAATCTAATATCGATTAAAAAAAAAAAAAAATTAAAAATTTAAAAAAATCGAAATATCGCGGTTTCATTCCGTGATCGTGAATTCGCGATTCGGATGAAAAATCGTGAATATCGCGATACAACGATTGATCGTTACACCTCTAGTCTCGCCGATACTTAGTTCTAGCGACTACAGAGGGCGCCACGGCTCCTACCTCTCGGACGCAAGGATCATCTTGGACAGCATCGGGTCGACGGGGAACTCAGCCATGCGGCGTCCGAGCCTCGTCAGCTCCCCGAGGTGGTTGAGGGCGCCTAGCGCGTACAGCTGCTCGAGCGCGAGTATGAGCGTCTCGTGCGGCGGCGGGTCCATGAAGTCGAAGTGGATGAGGTCGTTGATGCCGAGAGACTTCAGCAGCAGCACGACGTTGCCCAGGTTCGTGCGCTGGATCTGCAAGCGCCACAGCGGGGGACGCGTGACAAACACAGGCGCGTGACAGCAGGGGGTGCGTGACGACGTGTGACAAACACATAAAGCGTGACAGCAGGGGGTGCGTGACGACGTGTGACAAACACAGACACGTGACAGCAGGGGACGCGTGACGACGTGTGACAACACATGAAGCGTGACAGCAGGGGACGCTGGTGACGACGTGTGAAACACATGAGCGTGACAGCAGGGGACGCGTGACGACGTGTGACAACACATGAAGCGTGACAGCAGGGGTGCGTGACGACGTGTGACAACACATGATGCGTGACAGCAGGGGACGCGTGAGGACGTGTGACAACACATGAAGCGTGACAGCAGGGGACGCGTGAGGACGTGTGACAGCAGGGGACGCGTGACGACGTGTGACAACACATGAAGCGTGACAGCAGGGGACGCGTGAGGACGCGTGACAAACACAAACACGTGACAGCAGGGGAGCATAAGGACATGTGACAAACACAGACACGCGATGTGTGACATCGGGGGACGCATGGACGTGTGACGACACGTGACACATGACAGCAGGGGACATGTGGTGACACATGACGACGGGTGACGACATAGACGGGTGACAGGTGATCATGTGTGATGACACGGACATGTGGGACCGGGGGACATGTGACAATGTGACGACACAGACACATGAAAGCGGGGACGCGTGATGACGTGTGAAGATATGGATGCGTGACAACACAGAAGTGTGACAGCGGAGATGGGTGACGACATGTGACGACACGGGCACACTATACCGGGGATATGTGTGATAACGTGTTGTAATGTTGTGGTGACACAGATGCGTGTCATGCAAGATAGACGACATAAACAACACGTGACGGCACATGGCAATGGGGCAACGTGGACATGTAACAACACATAATGACACTTCGCAATGTATGACAGCATATCTCGATGCTTCCAATTGGGAATGCTACTTATAAGTTGCGACGCTCGATGTTGCTTGTCGTTAGAATGGTGTTAGGCCAAAACAAAATATAGGTATGGTTACGGTTTCCCGACCAACCCTATTTATTCCCAGCTACCCTAAACATTTTATTCAGTTTAAAAAATTTAAAATTTAAAAATTTAAAATTTAAAAAAAATTCAGTTCCTGCTTCAAAAGGCACAACGCACATCCTTCGGACATGGTTCGTAAAAAAAATATTTCAAGAAAATAAAATGTTTTCCCTACCTACCTACCCTATTTTTTTTTGGCATGTAACGGTAACCACCCATATATTTTGTTTTGGCCTCATCTTCCAGCACATGCTTACATACAGACAGTGTAAAAACACATGGCAATGCAGTTACGTGAAAAGCCAAGTCTTAATTGGCTCTTAAGAGTCTACACTGCAAACTCAAAGTCTCACCTCTGGAATCGTATTGTCCTCCAGCTCATGCTTATACGCCCAAGCCGTGTAGAGACGGAAACACTTTCCGGCCGCCACTCTTCCCGCTCGACCCGCTCTCTGATTGGCTGATGCCTTTGAGATGGGCGTGACGACGAGCGATTCCATGCCAGTCCTTGCGTTGTAACTTTTCTGCTTGGAGAAGCCGGTGTCGATCACATAGATGATGCCGTCGATCGTCAGTGATGTCTCCGCGATGTTAGTTGCCAGGATGACCTGAGAAAAAAACGGAAGTGTTTCTCTTTGGACAATGAGCAAAGATGAGAACGGACCGGGAAGAAATCCACGGGATATCCTTATCGGTCCGGGTCCGGGGGTCCTCCCCAGAACAATGTTTTTAATTAGATGCTTGCAGATGCGTTCTGAGGCACAGAAATTTCGAAAACTAGCTTGTTCATGAACGCCGCCATTGCACGCGCATTTCCGCGCAGTGCGCGAATGAATAGTACATTTGTTGGCCACGGGATGGCGAGCTCAGACGGTAAAAGAGCATCACTAGCCGCGGGACATTTTTCCACGGTCCAGTGTCCGCGGGTGGCGGTGTAGCGCTGCTACGATCAGCACTACGTGCACGATTATTAATTATACGTGACGCTGTGTGAGCTACAGCGGGCAACGATCACACGTACACGCGTATGCGTATTTCAATAACGAGGGAATGTAATAACAGTGATGACGGCGGAGTGGGAAGCGTGCGGGGCACCAATCATAATTGTTGATACACACCCTGTGCGGGAGCCCCGCAAAGCCCGAGGATGCGCGAGGATGCCCGAGGATGTAGGGTGCAAGGATCGAGAGGTATATCTGTCGAGCCACGCCCGCGTGGAGACAGAACTCCCTCCCCGCGTTCTGCCCCGACCTCCGTTTACCCTCCCTGCTTGTTGTACGATACCCGTTGTATCTTGTTATATTCGTTATGGCTGGTAATACAATCGCTTGTGGTACGTTACCTCGCTAGTTGATGTTTGCTTCTTGCGTACGCATTTGTACTCTCTGCCTAATCCCCTGCCCTCTACCGTTACCCTGTCTCGCCGAATAACCATCAAGGTTACAGCACCATACCCCCTACTAGTTTTCTCAACGGATTTGAACAATTTGGAAAATTGATAATTTTCGAAAGTGAAAATCGCGGGAATTCCGCATGGAGATTCTCCTCTCTGAATGAGATGGTTACATATTATTATGCATCTCATCATTTATACCAGATGACAGACGAAGCCTCACGTATAACGAATCAACAAATGTTTCTCTTTAGACGATAACATGGTTACAAGATCACGCAGCATGAGATTTACACCCGATGACAGACAAACCCACAGTTATGTGTGGGTTAAGTGACAGACAAACAAATGCTTCTCTATAGATAATAAAGATTACGATAACACCCTTATATGTGACGCAGTGGTTACGCATCCGGTCATCCACTACAAACCTCAGCACAGATTCCCAAATCAACGTCATGATTAGGCCACGCCCCCTTTCAAATCGTTGATTTTACTGGATTTACTATTGTTTCAAAAGTTACAAAAACACATTTTTTTGATAGAATACCTAAAGGTAATTAATATTATGGTAAAAACTTATTGTTTATTGTTTTTTACTGAAAAAATATAGTTGGGTTCACATAAGAAATATATGACCGGATAGATATACAGCTTGGTGCTGGGCATCCGGTAACCGGACGAGTAGCCATGGCCTTTATGTCATTTATAATGAATGACAACCACAAACCTTTCTCGCACCAGGCGGCGTCGGATCGAAAATCTTGGCCTGCATCTCCGATGGCATGGTGGAATAGATCGGTGCAATGATGAGCTCTCGGATCTTGGAGCCCAGTTTCCGCGTTCGCTCCTGGAAACGAAGAAAGCAAAACGCGAAATAAAACACATGAACAGTGAAACCCAAAATTACAAACAAATAGTAAAACCGTAACTGAATCTTATAACGTTAGATTTCACGACAAACAAAAGAGCAGCTGCCTGCAACAGAAGGCTCATTGCCTGGAAACCTGTATGCTACTGAAGCCACAAATCGTGCTTTCTCACGTATTAACTTATCCGTTCAAGAGAGATATCCATGACCCGACTCGAATACTGTCACTAGGTTGCTCAAGATAACCCGATTTGTATGACCTGCATGCCCAAATATCGAACCAACAGTACGACATTACTACGCATAATTTATAAAAATGCCATATCGCAACGACGATAAGCCGGTGTCAATCATGGTGGACAGATAGTTCGATGCGACAACGACGCGCGAGCGGAGAGCGGCGGTGGGGTGCGCATCGCACGTACAAGCAGCAGTTCGTTTGCGGTCTCGATCTCCTCCTGGCCGGTGAGGAAGACGAGTATGTCGCCAGCGTCCTGCGTCACGTGGATCTGCAGGACGGAGACAACGGCCGCGTCCAGGTAGTCGGCCTCGGGAGCCTTAGTGTAGAGAATGTCGACCGGGTACCGGCGGCCGGGGATGCGGAAGATCGGAGCATCGTCAAAAAACTACAACCAAGTTAACATTTTTTTTAAACAATGGGGGTAGATTTTCGTAGGCAAGTGGTTTATATTGTCTGGGTCACTAACCCCGCGTTCACACGTAGCGAAAACCCAGTTTCGTACGTATAGTTATACGTGAACGACCACGTATAGCTATAATCAGTTCGAAACGTGTATAGCTATACTTACACAAAAGGTGCGTATCGTACGTACTTCGTATAGCTGTACGCGTTTCGTACGCATATAGCAGACGTGTGAACAACCGGCTGTAGCTATACGCGTATAACTGGGCAGAGCAACATGCGCAGATTATGAAATATAAGCACACTGCACAACTTGTCGAGCTTATATGGCGATACATTTAGTCCAAATTATACGTGTGAACTCTGTATTACTCAAGGCCACGCTATTCACGATTCGTACGGAGTACGTACGATACGCGTTCGAAACTGGGTTTTGAGGTACGTGTGAACGCGATATAAGAGAGGTATCCATCACAGTGATCTGTTCTCTATAGTCCACAATTGAACTTATCACCCGTATCTTTGCGACATATACGACATGAAAGACATAATGTGAGATCGCACAGATACCCAGGTCTTTCGCACTGCGTTACATTCCCATGCAGGCAAACATTGTCTATAACCCCAACTAGTTACTGAAATCACATGACATTACACCACCAGCATTTAAGAGCAGGCAATGCCTTCTGAGATTCACGCAATTTCAATGAAATTTAAATGTCACGCAACTTGACACTGACAGTGCAAGATACACAAAGTGGTACTGCAATACCTGCTTGAATTCATCTTTTAAAAGTCAATCGTGCAAATTTAAACATCATATAATAACTTCAAATCAATCCATCCGCGCAACTATGTCCTTAGATTCAAACGCATCCTTAAGGTCCATCGCGGACAAATTCAACCATATAGTAACATCAAACACATACGGTAACTAACGATCAATCGCGCGACTCCGACCGAGATTCCGTTCGACGCCCGGCCGCCGCCGCGGCGCGCGCGACTCACCGACGAGAATTTCTCGGCGTCGAGCGTCGCGTGGATATGAGCAGCTTGAGGTCGGGCCGAAAGCGCGCGATGTCCTTAACGAGTCCAAACAGCACGTCGGTGTGCAGCGTGCGCTCGTGAGCCTCGTCGATGATGAT